AGCCGTCTGACTCTGGGACTGGGCGAAAAATCTGCCTGAGCCTAGATATGTCACCACTACATTTGCCATGCATAGCATAGCATGGCTCTGTGTTGGACCAGCACATCTGTCGTGTAAAACATTGTAGGGTCAGAATATGTGCACACTAGATATGCAGTTAGTCGAGCATAGGGCGCCTCAAGGGTAGACAGTTGACGAGATCATGAACTCCGCAGTTTGCGAAGTGAGTTCAATCGCAACCGGCCTGGGGGAATAGAGCGTCCATGCTGGACAAGTGCTAACGAAGCACATAAAGAAGCATACCATTTTGTCAACTAGGAATCGACACTCTTCCAAACCAAGAAAGCCTGACTACATCGTGTTTCGTACCAATGATATGACCATACGCATCGAGGTAAAGCAAGAGTCTACATAGTACGTGTCGTGTGAGTACTTAAGTTTGATCTCTATATCGAAGACCGAAGACGACCAAAAACGGATAGTTGGACTGCATTGGACATATTAACATGGTCGCGTCAGTTATGAGGATAGAGAGGCCATAGTTGGTTTAATTCACATCCGATCAAGTAAATGGTCAGGTAACACTATCCATAACGAAACAGACAAGCTTCACGGTTGTTTCGGTTTGTTTAAAAGGGTTTAATTTCCACAAACTATGCTTTAAGAAATAACAGGATGGTTAGATGGCATAAATTAGGAAGACAAAACCGCCAACATGTACAAATAAGAACAGATTCTACTGACGACGAGAAAGCATACAGATACTAAATGGAATCAGTGTGCGCTTAGCCGACTAGAACAGCTGTCCATTAAGTTGGCTGAAGAGGTCAAATATAGCACCTAACGGCAATGCTGGCGTCTCTATATGGAATCAATAATCATCAGAACCAATGATATCCGCGTAGCTTCACTTCCAATCATTTCAGTTGGCATATGAGGTCATGTTTAGTAATACATCAATACTATGTTGAAGAGATGATAGTAAGGACGCCAAAACGGTTAGTGAGCCGCAAAGTATTAGACAGAAAGTGCATCAACATAACCAAGGCATAAGTAATTGGCGAAAACATAAAAAGCCAATTCGACTTTCAGTTGGAAGTCAAATTTGCGTTAACTTCTAAAGGAACACAAGAAAGTCAGCCAATTTAAATGTAATTTTCAAACTAAATCACTTTTTATAAGAGGTTACTTAATATAGGAATTTTTAATTTGATCTTATGCATATTTATTGTTGGTTTTTGTTGTGGACGTTCATTTTTTCTCGGCAATGCATTTTCATGTTTTGATGAGTTAACAAATATGACCCTAACGCCCGTCGTATTAAGATATTCAAAAATTTATCTCTTCGGTAAATGTCTCCTATTTTGAAAGATTTGATAAACACAGAATAGAATCCAAATTTATGAACAATCGCCTAAACACACTGAAAATCGTGAAATATTCTTCGGTATTGCGATGAAGATCTGAACCTAATTGTAATTCAACAGCGGCAATAAATATAAAAAAGTTCGACAAAAGGAAAGTACTCTTCACATAATCCAAATGGTATGTTTATGAGTTCACCTGACAAGTCTATGTACATTAACTACCCGCAGTTACAGCGACTTTTCGCGTTTTCAGAATTTGCCGTTTTTTGAAAGAAAAAAAACGAGTGCTATTTCTGGCCAATTTCGTATAACTTTGTATACCTCCTTTAGGTTTTGCATTTGTCTAAGCTTGTTTTTTTATTATTTCAAAGCACCGATGCAGGCATTGATGCCAGTTCGGGGGGTGATCATCAATCTTTGGTAAAGTTCGGCATTTTGCATTAGTTAGGTCATATACTGAAGAAAGCAGAAGCTAGCATTTTTGGGGTTTATCGGGATATTTTCACCATAAAAACAACCTAACAGACAACTTCACTTCGAAGTGCGAAAAAAATCGACTACACTCCCCGGCGTAAGGATCTCCAGACTCTGATAACAAATTGGCGCCGCTGAAGATCATGACTCCCGGATAGATCTTTCTCGAGACAAATAGATCGAAAATCACCGCCCTTAACTAGACGAAGACAATAAGTAATTGGTCTTGAAAAAAGGCAGTGAGCAGTAACGGGGTCGGGCATGATATCAAAACCCCGAAAGCGAGAAGATATCTGGATTCCAGATAAGAGAACAGGCACTTTAACACGGAATCGCAGGCGAATGTGCATGAGAGCTCTTATCCGCGACAGACTGCAGGCATGACTTGGACGACTTTTCAGTGCTACTTTAACTATATATAGGAACAGTTGACTAGTTTTAGGGAGGAAGTGTCGGAGAGAAGATAGACTACCGGAGGTGAGTAACATACCACTAGTTTCTAAGGCCATAAAAAGATAAATACCTCACCACTTCAGAAATAGGCAAGGACAAGCTTTGTCAACTTTAGGATGATCGTGTCCGTTTATAAGAGCAAGGTTGAATACCCATTTTTTAATGTTTGCAGAGCGCATAAAGCTCAACTCAATACACCGTACAGCAGAGTTTTTTAATCAGATTCGTGAATAGGTATATTCGAACAGTTTACGCTAGCTCAACCTTGCTTTTCGACTAGCAAGTATTCCTCAAAAAATGGACAAAAATAATACTTACATTGTGGGGACACCGAATGTCAAACTGACGAATTGCTCCATCCTCAGCAGCTGAGAGAAATACAAAGGGTTCACCTTCTATAGTCTCCAGGCGCTTGACTCTTCCGAAGTGGCAGCCAAATACATGTATAGTCTTTTTCTTCTCAATGTCATGAACACGAACTTTTGTGTCTGCGGCGCCGGTGGCAAGCAATCGCTTCTTATACACAAAAATAAACTTGCGACAGCACGTACTTGCAAAAACTTTACGGAGAATATGTTACCGGCGTGACCAGTCGCCAGGGTAAGAAGGTTCTTGTATGTGTGTGGATTCCACAGTATTACACAGCAGTCGTCAGAACCACTCGCTAAAATGCTGCCATCTTCATTCCACTGAAGACAATTAACACATCCTTGGTGACCCTACAAACATGAATTCCCCAATTTCAAGCACCTCTAGCGTGGACTCTAGGCCAATACGATTAATTAGGCTTCCTGTAGCCTGATTTTTTCTGCGAAAGACTTGAGGGGCAATTAACTGAACAAATAGAAGACGGTGGGAAACAAACCCCAGATTCCAACAAACTTCTATCTTTCAAAAACGTATGACGCCGAATCATTAGACAACACTACCGGTACAGCAATGAACTATGTGTAGTCTTTCACCGGTATTTTTTTGGTTTTTGTGGTT